GAGCATTATATTTTACTTCGTGGTTATCATGGGATAGACTTTGATGGCAATAATACCACAAAACTATTAGAAAAAGTAGATATTTTAGAAAGAGATATTTTAGCATCTCAAACTAATTTGATACCTGTTGTTCATTGCCTCAGAAAGTTTTTGAAAGTTAAAGAGTGCACATTTGGACAAGAATTAGGCAGTAATGTTTCTTTAGTTATTGAAGAGTTCAAAGTATCATTTTTTGACCTTCAGCAGTATGCAAAAATACATTTAAATGCAGAGCTGAATGTTACTTAGAAAGTACATACAGTGGTTTGTCATATTCTCCCATTTGTGAAGTTTAACTCTTGTTCTCTTGGGTCATATGCTGAACAGACTGGAGAGGCTGTTCACAGTGCCTTTAAACCAAGTTGGTCTCTATATAAACGAAGAATTGGGCATATAGATTATAGAAAACGATTAAAATCTGCCACTGCCACTTTTTGCATAGATAAGATGTAAATATTTCAATATATAAGTAGTTGTGTTAATATTTTTATTGCACTCATTGTTTTTTCCTTGTTATTTTTCCTTTGTATTATTACTATAAGGGACTCTAATGATTTAACTTTGAAGTTATAGATTATATCATAATACTTTAAAGAGGATAATAAAGGATATTGATTTTTAAAATTATAATAGAAGGGGTTACTTTTATAGGGAATAAGTTTATCGCTTTAAGGGGGTAAATAGGGTTAAAAAATTAATTTTTTTTGGTACTTCTGATCTACTTTAGATTTATCCAATACACAAAAACAACATATTTTAGCAGCATTTATCTTGATAAAAAAAAAAAGTAGAAGTGGGGAGAAGTTCAACTTGGCGGTCTTTATGACACAGTGTGATGCTTTAATGTGATTTAGTTTAATTCGGACTGTTTTTATTCATTAATTTTTTTCTGGTAATTAGTAAGCAATTATCTTTATATAAAAGATTTTGTTGTTTTTTTAAATAATTTTAAAAAATTTTTAGCAAAAAATTGCACAAATTGTAAAGTTTCTAAACAAACCATAATGTGAGTGTGAAAAAAAAGTTGATAGTAGAAAATAATACTAAGAGTAGACCATATCATCCAGAATAAATGTCTAGAGAACAGAAAAATTCACAAAAAGTATTGAACAAGCTTATCTGCAAAACTAATGCTGTGTCAGACACCAAAACAAGTATTGCCCATTGTAGATAAAAAAGTTTCTGCATTTTGGAAACAGTCAAGCATCAAAGGATCCAAAATCGAGAAAAAACGGAGTCGAGAGAAACATAAATATTTTTTTTATCACAATTTTTTAACGAACAAGTTATATCTAATAATTGGCTTTCTAACCGGCATCGGTTAGGAAGAAGGCGTGAACTTTCAGTTAAATGCCCTTCTGCGTTGCTATGCAATAAAGACTTGTTGGGGCACCTATAGTAAAAATTAAAAAAAAAAATTTGAAAAAAAAAGTATTTATACTGAAGATCTTTTTAAATAATATTTTAAAAAGATCAAAACATCTATCATTTCATCAGAAAGCGAACTACGAAACTTTGTGACAAATCTGGAAGACGAGGAGAAAACTCTTTCTGCTTCCGAGGAAGCTGCTTGAATTCTGTGGATGGCTAGTTCAAATTTTAAAACTGTTTCTGATTTCACACCAGTTACTTCATATTCTTTCAACTGATCGGTGAAGGACTTGACTTTTTTTGTTTTTTTAGCTGCTGATTGATTTTGAATTAGAACTTCTTGAATTTCGGAGAAAAAAGATGTCGATTGTGATGGTTCTTCTTGTTTGTTTTTAGCGTGATCATCTGATTTTGATTGGAGACTATTTTCTTTTGTTGCAAATAGTTGATCAAATAATTTTGAAGCATAAATTTGAATATCTTTTTTGGAAGCGTAAAAAAATGTGTGGTTTTTATTTTTAAAAAAATCGGGATTGTGCAAATAACGACTCAATGATACCAACATAACGTTTTTACGATCTTCATATCTGGAGATTAAGGTCTCTGCAAAATTAGAACTGATGTCAGTTTCTGCAACCTTCAATTTCCTTACTAACGTTTCCATAATAATGTCACACTCCAAAATTGTTGTATTTGGTTTTTCCAAGCGAACTGCAGCGTCAGCAACGACTTCCAATAAGTCAGACAGCGATTTTAAGAAATCCAAGTCAATTTCAGCTAACATGTTTAAGCAGTTTAGCTCTTCGAGTGTTTTTTTTACAGCTTCTAAGCAATCCAGAAATCTTTTAATCGTCTTAAAAACACTGTTCCATCTTGTTCGGTTGTCGAACAACAGTCCTTTGTCATGCGAAGATCTGTATATTTCGTGTATTTTTTTTTTAAGAACTTCATATCGAAACGATGAATATTTCAAAAACTTAATTAGTATTCGAAGTTTCTGTAGATTTTTTTCGATATTTTCTTCATACTCAATCTCATTCTCCGAATATTCAATAAGAAACTCTCCTTCAGACTCTCCATCAGTTTCTGTTTCTGTTTCAATAATCGATTCAGTTTCTTTGTTCACAATTTTGCGACAATCTTTTTAGCGTATATCAAACCACAAACACTCAAATGAATTGAATGATTCTGGCAGATCTGATGTGGAAACTTAAATATGGTACCCAATTTCACCATCCAACTACAGCCATCCGTAGTTTTACCTGCAATATCTTCACTATCTATACCAAATTCTTTTAATTTTTCCATTATCAAAATGTTTAATGTTTCAGCAGAACTAGGAGATGGCAATCTCATCATTCCTAAACAATACGTTCTGTCGTGATGAACATTTAAATTGTAGTATCTTCTACCTCTATTGCTACACCATTCGTCACCTGTTAGTCCAAATTTTTCTCCTTTTGCTTTCAATGCAGCCAATTCAGCGATCATTAAGTATTTGGCTTCAGCATGAAACATCTTAATTTTTTCTGAAATTGCGGACGCTGACTTAGGCAAACTATGCCCGTAATTTTCAAAAAGCATTCTTAGTGTTTCAGATTGAGTTATGGACCTAATCGAATACCCATCAAGAGCTGTCAACTTGGCAAGAAGATCGTTTAATGACATTTTAGTCAAAACTGGTCTGGAACTGAATGGTTTCAAATCTATTTTCTCGCAACTTTTGACGTGTCCAATAAGGCCGTTTGTGCTGCTTCCTGGACAAGCGATTCTTTTATGACATTTTTTGCAATCTCCATACTTCTTATCATTTACCACAACTTTATTAAAGTACTTCCACGCTTCCGAAACCATTTTTTTCTATGAAGAAAAATTATCAATTTGATCATGACCTCCCATATTTGTTTTTAATTTTATTTTAATTGTGAAAAGTTATCACATTTTAAGTTATTAAGTTATTTATTCTGATAGGTAAGTATAATTAAACATTAATTATTATTATTATTATTTATTTTCACTGATAACATTTTATTGCACAATTTTGCCACAATGCTCAGTGGGCCGGATTTTAGACTTATGGTGGACAAAATTATTTTGATCATACAAAATACGACACTACTTGTATAAAATGAAAGTTTTATATGTTTTATATGTTAAAAACTTACCTCGTCATTTTACGACCAGTCTTTGTTTATATTATAAATAATGATCTTAACTAAACTTTTTTTTTGTAAAGGTAAACTATTGAGTAGTTAAAATATATAAACTAATATCACATTCGCATAATATTTTAAAAGTTACTGTTTATTATATCTTTGCTTAAAAATTAAAAAATTCTTGCTTTTTATTATGCATTACATTTTATTATACCGCAATTGATTTTTGTGGATTTAAAAAAATACTAATACTAAAAAGATACTAATATACACAAAAGAGTTTTTGAATTAGTACAATGGAAAAGTATGAGCATGTTTTAATATATGGTTTTGAATAGAATAAACTTTTTTTGAGGTTTTTTTCACCATCATCACCTGGCCCACTGTGCATTACCAATTGCTTTGCGATGTATATTAGTGTTGTTATCAAACGAAGAGAACACTTACATTTGAAACAATTTTTAAAATTACAATTTACAATTGTAAAAACCACGTAGAAATAAAATAAGAATTCAATTATTTTACGAATAAAAAATTGGTATTTTCTAAAAACTTCGTCGAAGTTTCGTTGAAGTTTCTCGATTTGTCTCGAACTCCGAAACTCCGAAAAACCGAGAAAAATCCGTCGAGACGGAGTTCCGAATGGATCCACTGTCAAGCATCCTTATCAGTAATAATCTGATCTGTCATTTGTGGGCAAAAAAGAGAATGCCTATACAAATTGGTTAGGACAATGAGACAGGATCAATAAAAATAGTTCTGAAAAAGCAGTCCTAAAATTGGTCCTAATGTGATGCCCACCTACTGTACGTTAATATCTTTGTATTATATATGTAAAAGTTATACAAACAAACCAAGATTATAATGTTTTCTAATAAATATATTTTATTACTGCATAAATTTTATTTGATAATTTTATTATTACAAAAATTTTATCATTGCCTAAATTTTATTGGATAACTTTATTATTTTAAAAATTTTATTATTGCATAAATTTGGCAGCAAAGTACTTGGCTAATTCGCAAAAGTAATCAACTAAGAACATAAAAATAATGTAATAACAGATAATACGATGTATTAGTTACTCAATTTATCTGGAAAAAAAGAAGTACATTCTAGTTCCATGTATGCTTGTTTATGACACTAAAATAATATATTTTTATTTACGAGACATCAAAAGTAACATAAAACAAATTTTTTAATTACACAATATGTTATAATTAACAGTCATGATTATTTCCCTTAATACCACAATTTCAATAACAAATAAAATTACAATTGTAAAATAAAATCAATTTCAATAACAACAACAAAAAAAAAAATTAAATCACACTTTCAATATCAAAAATGTACATTATTTTGTCATAAGTAAAAATTTCCAATTCTTAATTTAACATAAAAGTTAAAAAAACAACAACAACAATTGAAACTCACCGCACTTTTTCTGAACCTAGCCCTGATATGAGCTTATCAGCTGCTATAAGTCTTCTTTCCATCACCTCTGCCTCAGCTTGAAGAGCAGCCTTTTCTTTCATTGCAGCTTCATACTTCATACCTAACTCTTTAAGCTCAGCTTCTATTTCTAAAACATCTTTTTCAATTTTCTCAAGCTCACGTTTACTCATGTAAAAATTCCGTTCCAACTTGGCCACCTAATAAAAAAATAAAAATAACTAATTTCCAACATCTAGTTTCAGTCTATTATTGTATACATATTATAGTAGTGTGCATGTGAGTTTTCTCACCTTTTCTCTTTTAGGTTTGATTTCACGAGCAACCGAACAGTAGCCCATAACAGCATTGACAAACTTTAATAAGCCTGCGCCAGCACTGCTAATATCTTTCATCTCCTCCACAGTAATATTTAAATCTTTCAAGTATCCCTTTACTGTTTTTACCTAGATAAACAGAATAGATTTTCTTTATTAAAAAACTAATCAATTTTAAAAAAAATTTACTGTTTTTACCTAGATAAACAGAATTGATTTTCTTTATCAAAAAACTAATCAATTTTTAAAAAATTTACTGTTTTTACCTAGATAAACAGAATAGATTTTCTTTATCAAAAAACTAATCAATTTTAAAATATTTCCAAAAACTAAGAAAATATACTTGAGCAGTAGTAATAGCATCTACATCCATTTCCATAAGAGTTTTTAAAAAATTCGCTTCAGACATCATTCCTTTTGCAGACTTCCATGAAATATCTTTAATACCTCTCATTACCACAATGCACTCAGAAATTGTTTGCACTGCCTTTGGAGGTTTTGCAAAAGACCTAGAAGAAAATTTTTAAAAATAAAAATGAAAACTAATTTAATGAAGTTTAATAAACACTCTTACCTTATTTCTGTTACATCAGATTTATTAAGATCTTGAAGTGCAATTCTTGCTTCCTCCAATGCTGGTAGTGCTTCTGCCAGTGCTTCTTCTGCTTCACCCTACAAAACAAATGGAGAAATATATAAAAAAGACTTTTAAATTTAACAAAATAAAGAAAACTATTGATCATAGAGTTCACATAAAATTGCCATAAACAATGCTAGCAAATATTTTACAATAAACATCAGTGTAGTAAATCATTTACTTAATGAATAAAAATAAAATTATTAGTTTATCTTTTACCTGACATTTATTTATGCTGAGTAAAGGTGTGCAAATGAAATTGACTTTATAACACACACTCAACTATGTGAAACTACATTCCCTTTTACTTTTATTGGTATCTGAATTTTTCCTTCTACCTCTAATACTAAAGCTTTATATACCTCATTACTCATATTTATATAGATCTACATATTTTGCAAGTTTTGTTCACATAAATGAAACATTTGTAAAACTTATAAAAATTTTTTACAAGGGTTTCATAAATGTATAATTTATAATTTATAAACAAATCTCACCTTTTCTTTAATAATTTGGACATTTTGTTCAGCAATCTCATCCTTTTTTGCTAATGCTAACAACTTTTTATCAGTTGCAATTCCAGTTCTTTCGGATATTTCTGATAACAAAACTTCACATGATTTTGTTTTTTCTGTAACTGCAACTTTCTGAACTGCTAGCTTTTCATTAAGTTCAGCAAGTTGTTCACTAGCTGAAAACAACTTACTAAGTCCACCATCTAATCGATGACACTAAAGTAGTTTAAGAAAAAGTTAAAAAATAACTTACTCAAAAAGTTAAAAAAAAAAGCGGTTTAAAAATACTTCAAAAAGTATTTAAATATTATTTAAACTATATTTCACCTGTTCAAGAACATAAGTATCTTTTTCCCTTAAAAGCTTTGTATATGTATTCACAAAATCCAAGTAATTTTTAGGAGTTACAAAGTTTAACCTCCTTAGTTTTCTTAGATACATGACACTATAGTCACCAACTGTTTCATGAACTCTAACCACATGAGAAATGACATTATCAAAGTGTTCATCAGGAATCAATTGGTTCTAGAAAGTTAAACTAAGAATATTTAAACATATTACCTTTTACTTTGATTGTGGAAATCAGAACAACAATGTAACAACTACGGTTACCTTACAGTAATAACAAGTCAGAATAATTCCTCTATAAACAAGACTTACATTAGCTAAAAATTTTGAAGCAACAGCAAAAAGAGCTTGCCTCGGCCATGGCATGAACCAATCAATGCTAGTATTGTTAACTAAACCTGGAAAATTTCTACATCTATTTTTTAAAACATCACCAACTGGTGACATTGCTAAAACAACATGCAAGTTATTGGAACATTTTGTAACAAAATACTGCCATAATGCTTCTTTTGAACCTGGTACACCATGTGTTTGCGCCTCATCACGTATCTAAGTAAAAAACATCTACATAATAATATAAGTTTTTATGTAACAAAAACAGTTTTAAGAATTATAACTAAAACACAACATGATAAATAACTTGGCCAAAGCACTTTTTTTTTCATATTACATATTTAACATTAAAAAAATGCTTTTAAACAAAAAAAAAAAATTTTTTTGATTTTAAATTCTTAAGAGGTTCAAACTGTTATCGCTTAGTATAAATAAGAAAAAAAAAATTTATTGGATGGTTACTTAAGTAAAGATTCACATATTTTAATGGCCAATTTTAATTTTAAACTTTCAAACTTGAAAAATGTTTTTTTACAACTGGATATGTTTCCTGACATAACCTGTAAATTATGTCAGGAAACACATTTTTAAAAAATTTCTTTTTACACCCTTTATATATACATAGTTAAATCAATACTAAACTTGAAAAGTTAGTTTTTTTTAAATATATTTTCAGGAGTATTACATGACCCTAGAAGATTTTGATGAGCCCTTAACTTTAAAAAAAATATCAATATATTTTGGATAGCAAAAGAAGCAAAATTATATAAAAATTTTAAAAACTATTATTCTATATAAAAACAGTTTCTATATAAAAACTATTAAATAAGACTTTTAAAAAATTTACAGCTGATAAAATTGACTCTTTTTCTTCATCAAAAAAAAGTGCTGGAACCATTCCTGATGTCAGCATATTGTTAATTAGTTCGAGAAAACCTAATAAAAAAAACAACAATTTTGTAGAAAAAAGATTCTTTTATTAAGATTGAATCTCTTTAAAAGTATTCATAGATCACTTACTTTCCTCAGCAACATGAGAATCAGTAAATAAAAACACAACTTTTTTGTTATCTATTCCTAGCTTTAGATAGAGAATTTTAAGATCTTCGCGAAATTTTACTTCAGAATAACCTCTTGTCAAAGTTATTTCAAAAAATTCATAGCCAGCTGCATAGGCTGCTAAACGAGTAATACTTTGTTTTCCTGATCCTCCAACACCAACAAGTAAAGCATGTCCCTAAAACACGTTATTTAAAAAAGATATATACTTTAAGATTTTTAAAAAGGGCACAAAAGATTTAAATCAAAATTATTACGTGTATTTTTGACATTTTATTAGAATGTTGTTGTAAATAAATTGCACCAAAATATCAAAGCAAATATACCTGATCCATTCGAATAATGCGATGGATTCTTGTTAAATGATCAATAGCATCATCAAATAAAACAAGGTTCATTGGACTGTTTTTCGAATTGTGTTCATCTAACACCTGAATAAGTTATATACTTTTTTACACTGATGTTATTATTAATAATTAGGGTTCTGCAAAAAAAAAATTTTTTGTTTTACTTTGAATTGAATTTCAAATCAAAGCAGCATTTGATTTGTGAATCTCAAATCAATTCATTAGTTTAAGGTCAAATTTATATTTTTCTTTAACACTATATATTAAAATCTAAATATTATTTAAATAAACAAGAAGATCAATTAAAACATTAGATATCAAAGGAAAATATATGTTTTTTACCAAGCATGGAATAGGGCAATCCTAGCACTCTAATAATTTTTTTTATATGTATTCCGTAATTTCAAATTTGAATTGCTAATTTAAAGTTGTTCTCTCTGATAGGGTAAGATTTTTATAGATATTTTCAAAAATTTTATCTACAAACATTTCAGAGAAGAAATTAGTTTCCTCATGTTAAATTTTATCAGGAACGATTCCTGATAAAATTTAAATGAGAAAACCAACTTTTCTTTATAAAATAAAGAGAAAATAGTATCCTCTTGTTAAATTTCATAGGGAACCATAGTAATACTTACACTATACTTTTTTTCTTAGATGTCATCAAAAAAGATTACGCAGCTTGTATTTTTGCCAAGGTTAACTTTACTGATTTAAATCGAAGATCCAAGAAAGTAGTGGTAAGAAAAATGTCTTCACTTAATTCAAACCTGATTTCCAACTCAATATTAAGATCTTTAACAATCAAAGTAAGATCTTCATAACTTTTTTTAAATTCACTTTCAACAAGCAGCCACTTTTAAGAAGAGAGTTGGAAAAAACAGTGTTAAAGAGCAAGGAAATGATTGACAGAAGATATGAAAAGTTGAAATTTGTCAGGAAAATATAAGGTGGGAAAAAGTCCTAAAGTTTTTAAGGGTATGAAGAGACAAATACAGTAAAATGATGTGACTTTGCTGAACCAGTCAAACTGGAATGTGTTTTGGTTGTTGGAACTAGAGATAATAGCTCTTTTGAATAGTGTCCATGATAGTATTTGTAGAAATGAGAAAGAGATACAACCTTACAACGATGGGAGAGTGGCTCAAGCTTGGTAGACAAAGCAAATCTATTAAGAGTAGTGTCAGTTGTAGCACCTAAAACATTTTTTGAAACCATGTCAAATTTTAAAAACATGTTTCTTATAATTTGTGCAGTAGAAGTTTATGATGTTAATTAATTCAAGTTGCTGATAAGCAATTCTAAAATCTATTAGGATGAAATATAGTGTAGTAATGAAGAAGTTATTATTGACCTTGAAGTGATTAAAAGTGATGCTGAATTTGGAGACAACATTGTTGAAAGCTATTGTTTAGATAATTAACTATATTACCTAATTCTTGAAATAAAATACTGGTGTCGTGGATGATATTTAAAACAACTTCTACAAAAGATAAATAAAAAAGTATTGGTGCAAAAGTATGGAAAAAATATTATAAAACTTTAGTGTTTATAGTAACTAATTAGTGTTTCACTCTGTTTATATTAATGAAATTTGTGCTTCAGTCTGTTTATGTTAATGAGATATTGTGCTTCACTCTGTTTATGTTAATAGACAGCTTTATTAAATGGTTTAAGTTACATCATTTCTCTAGACCACTAAAACTTAAACAAAAAGGTTTTAAAAACTTGTTACTAGATTTAAAAAAACAAAACTACACATAAAAAAATAAGAAAATGATTTAAAAAATTGAAATCATTTTTTTAAATCAAATTACCAATTGATTTTTGAATCTCTCAGCAATTCATGAATAAAATCAATTTGCAGGGCCCTAATAATGATGTAATAATAACTTTTTTTGAGGACATACTAACTACATGTTAATTAACATATATCAATAGTTATTATTCATTAAAAGTTACACATAAACTAATTTGTTTTTATTCTATTAAATGATCTTATACCTCTTCAAATATTGATTTGGCTGTTGCATAGTCAAAAAGATCTTCATATAACCTTAAATCACCTGTAAGTGCATTACGATAATCTCCAAATAATAAAGGTTCGTGATTTACAAATTCGAAATGATGATTAAAGTGCTGTTTTACCAAACTACTGACATAGTTCTAAATATATAAATAATAAAAAAAATAAACATGTGAAAAAAATAAACAATACATAACACCATCTCACATAACAACCAACATCTTTTTGATGTATCTTTGCATAGGTTAGTATTTTAATTGTAACAATCACAAGAAATAATAATATTTAATATCTTTATATTTTTTCTATTCCTGCTAATATAAAAGTTTAACATTAAATATTAAGTAAAAACTACAACTCACACTTTAAATAACTACAACCCACACTTAAAAAAAGGTTTATCAAATATAACCTCAACAAGAGCTTTATCTTCTGTGCTGATCAGTCGATCTGAGAATACACGCAAAAATTCATTACGCCAGAGTTTAATAAAACTTTCAGGAGCAGAAAATCTATCAGGTACAGTCATACACAAACCATGCATTACACGAGACAGATCACGCAAGTTAAAGATGTAATGAAACTTTGATGGAGTAGCTGGAAGTTCAACCACAATTGTTTTATATAGTTGTAAAGTGCAATTTGTAAGAAGCTCTGCTAAAGCTTGAATACTTTTAGCAAAAGGTTTTAGGTGACCTTGTAATATTGAGAAATAAATTTTTTTTAACGATTCTTCTGAAGGAAAAGTTATGTGAAAAACAGAAAATAGAGAGATGAAACGAGGATCAACTTCATTTCTTCCACCACCAGCCTAATTATGTAAAACAAATGTAAAAATGTGCGAAAACAACATCAAAACTGATTCCAAATATAAGTTTTTTCATTGGTAAATTAGAAATACCTCTTTAGAGTATACAAAATAAAAATAATAAACCTTTCCCATAGCTGCAAGAAATCCAATATCTTTAAAGTTTTTAAAGTTAAGTTCTTTACCACGATCATACATACCACTTTTTTCAAACAGTAGTTTTAGTAATGCAATGGGCTGTTGTGTACCATAATTATCAACCTAAATAAATTTGTTTATGACATGGCAACAAACATTTACTTATTTATAAAAAACAGTAAGCATTAATTATCTTCAGAGTATAGATTAAAATGTTTTTTTTTCTTAGTATAACAAAATAAAATGCATAATAATAAACATATAAAGTGTTACTATTAAAAATATTATAAACCTGTGGCATATTTAAATCATCAATAAAAACAAGCAACTTTTTTCCAACAGGAGGACCAAATGTGTCTTTAGTTCGCTTCTCAACATTTCCTTCTAAATAGCACTGCACATTCATTGAAGTAGTTCGCGAAGAGAAATTTATATTCAAAGGCAACTAAAATCCATATTTGTTAAATGCTTACAATTTAGTTTAAAGACATCAGAAACCACAAGTAAAGAAAAAAAACAAAAAACACAAGTTATGACAGCTTTTTTTAAGTATTCAAGATATTGGAGTCTGAGAACGCCAAAAATTTGCTCACCCCATCCCAAATGTAAAAAAAAATTTGAAACCCTAAAAAATTGTTTTCTTCTTTATTATTGGAGATTTATACCTCTATAATCAATAACTTGAAAACCCTAAAAAATCTTTTTCTTTTTTATTATTGGAGATTTATACCTCTATAATCAATAACTTGAAAACCCTAAAAGACTTACAAAACTCATGCACTCCCATATTAAACATATACTTTAACATGAGAAACTTAATTAAAATAATTGATTAATGACACAAAGGTAAATAGTAACTATAAATTAAATGTAACCATACAAAAAAATCTCTGTCTATTTCTCTAAGTAAATTATGAAGAGTTGCAGATTTAGATGTTCCAGTTTCACCAACTAAAACAACTGGACGATTGATTTGAACCATTAGCTTCACCAACCACTTACTTCTTACTGTGTCAATAGTTGGTACAAGAATCTGATTATAATGAACATTAGGATCATGAATGTAGTTTGGAACCATAGAAGACCAAGATATCCATGCACATTTTTCAAGACTTAAAAAATAATCAAACAGGGTTGGTAATAATATGGGTATTTGGGTACATCCAACTTCAGTGTCCATACTTAAAGGTAAGCCTGATAGATATTTTAGATAAGCATCAAACTTTATACGATCATCATCAAGCAATCCTGCTCCAATAGACCATACAAGTGAAAAAATAAAAATACTTTCAATTACTACTTCACCATGGAAAACATTTGTCTCAGGAGCTGGAAGAAGTGCTTTAAGTACTGAACATAACTGAGTAACCTAAATAAAAGACAAAAAAAAATTTTAAAATTACAATTCAGATAGTAAAAAAAAAATGATTTAGCTCTAACAAAATTTTAGCTATTCAAAGATAATGTTTAGTGTCTACTTTCTAAAATATTTTGTTAGACTATTATCTAAATAAAAGATTTAAAAGACTTAAAAGATTGCAAATTATATGAATCAGGAAAGCAAGATGAAGGAAGCGAATTCCAAAGAACTGATGTTCGAGGAAAAAAACTAGACAAATAAGAGTTCTTGGAGCACTTAGGAACAGTAACAGAAAAAGGATGAGACTTAATTATATGACGAGTAACACAAGAATCAATAGAGATAGAGAATAGAATCCAGAGTAAGAAAGTGACGAGCTCGATAAAGAGAAGCAACTTTAGCAGATGCTAATTTTACAACGGATTTGATATAAGGTTTCCAAGAAAGAATAGAAGTAAGAGTTAATCCTAGAAGATGAAGGGTAGAAGACTCATCGAGTACATTACCGTTCATAAATATAGGAAGGTCTAAATTATTGCGATAACGATTGGCTGAAAAAAATTGAGTTTTATCTGAATTAAAGTTCACCAGCCACCGTGAGCCCCATGCTATAGCAGAAGTGAGATCCTTTTCAAGCTCAGATGCCCCCTGCAAGCAATCAGAGGGAGTTGGCTTCTTATCGTGACAAGAATAAATGGTAGTATCATCAGCAAACAATGCCACCTTAGATGTGAGAATATCTGGAAGATCGTTAATGTAAATTCAAAAAAGTATAGGGCTAAGGATTGAACCTTTAGGAACCCCTGAGGTTACAGAATAAGAAGAAGAGTGCTGTCCATCAAGGACAACTTTTATACTATGATTGGAAAAGAAGGATTTAATAATCTTCAAGATGTTTCCAGATACACCGTAAGAAGAAAGCTTATGGAGAAGACCTGCATGCCAAACTTTATCAAGGGCTTTAGAAATGTCAAGAGCGATGGCCTTAACCTCTCCACCTTTATCTAATGCGCGATAAAACCTATTAGTTATTACTGTTAGCAAATCAGCTGTAGAACAAGAAGATCAAAATCTATATTGACAATCAGAAAGTAGGTTACGAGATTTGAGATGAGAGATTAAGTGTTTGTTAATTAAAGATTCAAAAACCTTGCTTATGATAGGAAAAAGACTAATGGGACAGTAGTTAGACGAATCGGACCGCTCTCCAGAATTTTTAAAAATAGGGATAACAGATGCTGCTTTCCAACAGGCTGGAAAACAAGACTCTGATAAGCACTTGTTAAATAGTTTTGAAAGGATAGATGACAGCTCCGGAGAACACTTCTGCAAGACTATAACAGGTATGTTGTCCGGGCTGCAAGCTCTAGAAGAGTCTAAGCAGGAAATCACTTTAGATACAGAAGCTGGAGTGATACGGATGTCAAGCAGTGGATCAACCTGTTTGACGGCTATATCAAGTAGAACGCAACTAGTGGAATCAAGAGATGATATTGATGAAAAGTTCTTGGCAAACAATTCAGCTTTGTCTTTAGGTGAGGTGACAAAGTCTGAACCGTACAAAAGAGGTGGAATTACAGACTTGCCCTTATTATTGATACTATTAAAGATTCTCCAGAAGTCACGAGAGCCTAGTTTTTGTGATGAAATACGAGATTTCATGATCTAAGAATAGCGAGAATTTCATGATCTGAGAATATCTGAGATTTCATGATCTGAGAATTTCTCAAATAAATAGCAAAAAACAAGTTTTAACTTTGTTTAATTTTTAGTTTAAATATCAAACAGAAATTTTTTTTTAAGAAAGTATAAATATCATTAACACAATTTCAGAAAATTGTCATTGACAGCATTGCTGATTGTTGATGGGTACTATCCTTTGATTTGTAAAGACTCCAATAGTCACATGCTAGGTTTAGGGGTATACATACACATTAATTCCCCTATTTGTCGCGAAATCAGGTTCGAATCCTTTGACCATTCTTTTATGTGCTTTCGCATAGCACCTCTTCACTCTATCACCTTTCTCTTTGTTCTTTATCGTTCTCCTTCTTCTCATAATTGCACTCTATTAGATGTTATCTCTGATCAAATTAACCATGCCCTCTCTATTTACCCCTCTGCCAATATTGTTGTTGGTGATTTTAATGCCCATCACACTGAATGGCTTGGCTCTAACACCACTGATCCTGCTGACACTAAAGCCTTTAACTTCTGCGTTTCTCAATCTCTTACTCAGATAGTTAACTTTGTGACTTGTTTTCCTGACAACCCTAATCATTTACCTTCACTCCTTAACTTATGTCTTGTCTCTGACCCTAGCTTATGTTCAGTTTCTCTCTTTTCTCCCTTAGGTGGTTCTGACCATGCAATGATCTCTATAAATCTTTCTTCTTGCACTTCTTTTTTGGGCTCACCTTATCATCGCACCACCTACTACTACCCTAAAGCTGACTGGGATTCTTTTCGTGATTTTCTTTGTGATGGTCCTTGGGCTGATGTTTTTTCTCTCTCAGCTGATAAATGCGCCTCCTAAGTAACCTCCTGGATTCAGGCTGGAATAGAAGCTTTTATTCCTTCTCGTCGGTTTTAAGTAAAGCCTCATTGTACTCCACGGTTTTCTCCTTCTTGTGCGGCTGCTATATCCAATCATAATCATTTTTTTTATCTTTTTCAAAAGAACAACTCTCTTAAGAACAAATAGCTATTTATAATTGCAAGAAATCAATATAAAAAGGTGCTTTCTGATGCTAAACTCCATTATTCTCTGTTTACTAAATCTCGCATCTTATCACAGAAGTTAGGCTCTAAAGACTTTTGGAAAATCTTCAACAGCATTATTAACAAGGGTAAATCTAACATTCCATCTCTCATTCATGGGATTGATCTTATTACGTCTCCCAAGGATAAGGCAGAACTATTAGCAAAGAACTTTTCTTCTAATTCCACTCTTGAATCTTATGGACATTCTCTTCCTTCCATTCCAGTCAAACCGGATGACCCATTGTTAGACATTCAAATCACTCTGGCTTCTGTTGCTAAAGTCATATCAATTAAACTTGTCAACAGCTTGTGGTCCAGACAAAATTCCTGTCACAGTCTTGCAGAATTGTTCTCCAGAACTTTCTTCAATTCTCTCTAAACTATTTAACAAGTGTTTGACTGAGTCTTGTTTTCCTGCTTGTTGGAAAATGGCATCTGTGGTTCCAATATTCAAAAACTCTGGAGAAAATTCTGACCCCTCCAATTATCATTCGATCAGTCTTCTTTCTGTTATTAGCAAGGTCTTTGAGTCTTTGATCAACAAATTCCTCACATCTCATCTTGAGTCAAATATACTACTGCCAGACAATCAATACCGTTTTCGATCCTCTTGCTCTACGGCCGACTTGCTAACTGCTGTAACTGAAAGATTTTATCGTGCCTTAGATGGAGGCGGTGAGGCTAGGGCCATTGCTCTCGACATATCTAAAGCTTTTGATAAAGTTTGGCATGCTGGTCTTCTCCATAAGCTTGCTTCATATGGTGTTTCTGGGAAAGTTTTTGAGATTATCAAATCATTTCTTTCTAACTGTTTTATTAAAGTCATCCTTGAAGGCCAACACTCTTCTTTATTTCCAGTAACTTCTGGGGTTCCCCAAGGTTCCATCCTGGGCCCTGTTTTGTTTCTTATCTACATAAACGATCTTCCTGACAACCTTTCATCTAAAGTAGCTCTTTTTGCTGATGACTCAACTTTATACTCCTGTCTTGACAAAAGTCTTCTCTTTTCGATCGCCTAGAACAAGCAGCTGATTTTGAATCCGATCTCACTTCAGTAATAGATTAGGGTTCACAGTGGCTTGTGAATTTCAACTCTAACAAAACCCAGTTGCTTACTGCAAACAACTACCGTAATATGGTCAACATTCCTATATTAATGAATGGCAATTCTCTTACTGAGTCCTCCTCTTTACGTCTTCTTGGATTATCGCTTACTACTGACCTTTCATGGAAACCATATATACAATCGATTGCTAAATTAGCTTCTGCTAAGGTTGATTCTCTTTATCGTGCTCGCCATTTCTTTACTTCTGATTCCATTCTCTACCTCTACAAATCTCTTATTCGTTCCTGTATGGAATACTGTTGTCATATTTGGGCTGGTTCTTCTAACGATTCACTTTCTCTTCTTGACAAGGTCCAAAAACGCATTGTAAATGTTGTTGGACCTGGACTATCTGCTAAGCTTGAGCCTCTTTCCCATCATCATAAAGATGCATCTTTTTCTCTTTTCTACAAATACTATCATGGTCACTGCTTAAAGGAGTTAGTATCTCTAGTTCCATCAACTAAAATTCATTCTCGTTTTACTCGTCATTCAGCTAAGTCTCATTCATTTACTGTATCTGTCCTTGCATGCTCTAAAAACTTTTATTCATCTAGTTTTTTTCCTCGCACTTTAATTCTTTGGAATTCTCTCCCATCTCCATGTTTTCCTGACTCATACAACCTTTAACTTTTTAAGTCTTCTGTTAACCGTTTCCTTTCTATATAAGTCTGTTCTTTTTTTTTCTTCCTAGTAACTTCCAACTTAATAGTGGTTGCTTGGAGCCTTGTTGGGAGTGAATTCAAATAAAATAAAAAAATAAAAAAAATTAAGTTTGAAATTAAAATAATGTTCTATGTTGTTTTATTTTAAAAAACCTTCTGTTTTATTAATTTTCATTTTTTGAAAGTTAGTGAATGCTATGACAAACCCATGAGAGATATACATTTATAAATAATTTACATAGCTAAAAAGAAAAATACTACTTTTTTTATATGTTTATTTTATAAAGATGATTGCAAGTAAGATTGCAGTGTGGGTCTAGAGCATAAAGGAGCAAGATCAAAGATGTTATTTACAGTTTCTGAACCAATCTTTCAGAAAAAGTTAACACCATCATTGTTTTTGTATTATTGGTTAAAATCTTTAATTTCAAATCACTTGCAAATTAAACTTAATAACCAAATCTCTTATACTTTCTTTCTCTCTCTATCCAATTTTTATAATTTGGATTTGAAAAAAGATTCACATTTCTAGGGCATTTGCAGTAACTGTGCAAATTCATTTTAGAGTTAATAATAATCATAATATAAAAAATGATAGATAGAACATTGTTACCCTTAGCCACAAAATCAGAAATAGCTAAACCTGCAAATAAGATGCCTTTTCAGATGTTGCTAACTTTACAGAAAATTTTGGAAAAATTTTCTGTAAAGTTTTTAAAAAAAAAAAATTATTCTCAAGTTTAAAAAGTTTATTAGGCGCAAACTTTAGTTGTATGTTGCATCCATCTATTTTGTAGTTAAAAGTTATTAGTTAAGTTAAGAGGAAATCGAATGTTGAAAATTCACTGCAATTTGGTTTATGTTGAGGTTTAGGAAAAAAAACATTTAAACAATTTAGCTTTTTACCCACCTCCAAATTGTAGCGGATGGGATATTTTTTATTTCAACCTTTTTCATACTTAGCAGGATTTAAAACTTTTTTTTATTACTATATATTAGTAAAAATATTTAATCACAAAGCAACCAAATTTTAGAGCAGGGTCAAAAAAAAATAACAAACCATATTTAAATTTGTTAGTGGAACAATTGTCCTTAGCTTTCCTTCTTTCCTACCATCTACAACACCATCTATAACTCTATTGACGAGTGCTGGTACATACTTATCAAAACATCGTATTAACTCTTGTTGTTCAGATTTATTTCTACGAGTACAAAGCCACCGATTCCAGTAAGGATTGTAACCAAGATTCTTTGGATCAACAAACACCATGCCACACCGTGAAACTGTAGCAGGAGATGCATAACGTAAATCAGATACCTAAATTTTAAAACTAAAACATAAATATATATATTTTTTAGAAAATGAAGTACTTTACATGGAATATAAAATAACACCTCAAACAAAAGTGCACAATGAGGCAGCAATCTAATTCTTTCTCCATTAGCTAATGTTAGCAATCGATTGTCGTCCATAACAGAATTCATATTTTCTACCCATAGTGCATCTACATCTCCATCAAATAAAATATATTTTCGTTCATTCTTTTCTGTTGGCTTGTTTATATCTCTAAAAATGTTAGACAATAAACCATCCGTCCAGTCTCTTGTAACTGGATCAAGAACTCCATATAGTTCATTAACAGAGCAAGCCTTTGGATTCAATGTGAAGATTTTTGTATTTATACCAAGCCTTTGCCAAGAAAAATAAGAAGTCTTAATAACTAGTTATTTGTATAAATATATACAAGAATAATTGAACATAAAAACAATAACTTTTATTTATATTATTAATTTATAATAAGTTTTAAAAATAAAAAAAAAATTTATCTAAGAAGATAAATTACTCATATATCAAATTACACAAAATAAGCAACATTACTTGTGTAAATTTAGTTGTTTAAAGTTTTCGTTTAATAATTATAAAATTAAATGAAATGAATATAGGGAGTATTAGTTAACCTTTTAACAGTGAATAACAGTTATATACGTCAAAAGTAAAGTGAAACCTATATGTGAAGGAGGAATATAACCTTTGTTGAGTATGCTTTTTTTTTAAAGACTGACATCTTTGCAAAACTGAATAAATTTTTCGGTTAAGAATTTTTCTCACTTGAACAAAAAAAATTATAAGCAGCATTTAAAACAATGGATTAAATTAACCACCACAAAAAATGGTTTTATCAGCGTATTATGTCCAAACAAGAGCTTTAAATGACTTTAAATTAAACTTTTTTTGCTTCAGGTTTTTTTTATATTTAAAGAAACCTTTTTTTTTTCATATAATTTTCAAAACCTCTTTACTGCCCGTAATAGTGAATCTAAAGAACACCATTTTGGAGTGTTTAGATCAATTCTGCTCATAGGCGTTAACATGAATTTAGTTAAAACCTTCGGAAAAAATTCCTCAATTTATTACTGATTCTAGTTCTAATCAGTTTTGACGTATATTAACTATAAATAGTTGTCAAAACACAATATTTCTATCAATTTTGACAGAAAATACTAGAATTCCGACCAAGAAAGAGCTTATAATTAAGAAAAATTGCCAATAAATGATCAGAACAGATCACATTGTTAAACTATAATATTCATTTCACCTAAAAAACGTATTTATTTAAAATCTTATTAAAATTTGGACAAGCGATTGTGATTTTAGGAAGATTTTTTTTTTTAAAAGATTTTTTGGTCATTGCTTTTTGCTATAAACATTTATATTTTATGATACCGCAAAATTTATCATTTTAATTTTTTTTTTGTCTCTTCATTATTCACAGACCTGATCATTTTACTCATTTTTTATTAGTAGTATTTTTTTATATGAGTATAATTTTATAATTCAAATCATTTGCATAATAAATATTTCCAAGTTTAAATACTAATCACTTTTTTTTTCAACTCAGGGAAAGTTATATTTTTAAAATGTATTAATAATACAAATAACAATTATACTTAGTTTGTGCTTGAGATAAAGTATTTATAACAACTGATTTTCCACCTCCAGTTGGTCCAACAACCATGGTAGTGTGTCGAGTCATCATTGTTTCATAAAGTTGAACAATTTTATCAATCTAAATTGCAATTGAATAAAAAATATTTTTTTATATTTACCATCCTGAAGTAGAGGGGGTCATCACAGCCAAGGAAGCTACACATTTTTTTAATTGTATAAAGATACAAACCTGATTGGGTATTAAAATATAATTAGCATCTTTAAAAACCACTTCAATTGCATCATTAAGGTTTTTATAGCCTACACGTGGACATTCCAAACCAGGAAATAGATCTGCTATTAATCCAAGGAAGAGAGGAACATCTTCAAAAATAAACTTTGGTAAGTTCATGTCACGAAGAGCTCTCATAAGAACAACATCCTTAAATTATAGTTTAAAAATGGAACTTGTATAACATAAATTTAATTTTAAGAAATTTCAGTAAACATTTATTCAATGGAATACTTTATAAATAAAATTATACTTTTGTTACCTCATTTAGTTCAGTTGAGTTTCTTTTTAATTCACCAGCCATTACAAGTACTGATTTTAATGCACGCAAGCCAAAATCATAATGTGATTGTTTAGAGAGCTGTCCTGCTGCTAACTTGTATAAAACAGTCATTTTCTTGGCTAATTCCTTTAAACAAACAAACAAAAAAATACTTGAGTAATTTAATTGAAAATTTAATGCCAACTATATTTAAACAATTCTTACACTGTTTACAAACATTTTAAATTAAAATTTAAGTCCAACTTGGCTAATAATCAAATAAAAATCCACCTTGGCTAATAAAAAGCCTTCTGAAAACAGCATAATTTCACATATTAGTTGTAAATCTGGAACTATACACATAACTGGTCGAAACAAAGCTTTAACACTTTCAGGCAACTCAGTTCTACCTGCATAACCAGGATTCATTGTGATAAATAATCCCATTCTAGGATCTAAACTGATTTCACTACCTTCAAACTGTAAAAATGGTTAAAACAATTATTTAAATATTTAAAACCAAATAAAACACTTAATTTGTGCAATTTAAAACCTGTAACTTTCGAAGTCCAACAATTAGAGCATTTTGAAGGGTTTTAATTTGAGTTGATACTACAGATAAAACCGATATATCAATGCGATTGAACTCATCAAAACAACCCCATGCACCACATTGTGCTAAGCCAGAAAATATTTTTCCAATAGACTAAAAAAAAAACACTAATTTAAGTTTGGGACAATAAAATACTGCAGCCTTTACTTAGCACCTGTCAAAACCCTAATGTTAGTAAATTCTATCATAATTGTTTTGTTGTCTGGGTTTTAAAGTACATTTCAATAATAAATTATTAGTACAAAAATAATAAAATGGGATATTTCAGAAAGACATGTGTCTAGATTTGGTTTTTGTTTCTTTAAATTTTTTTTGTTTGTTTTTATCAAGACATAAAATTCTAATTTAAGATTTTTATTTAAAAAACTCGAATGCTATAATTTTATGCTATCTTCGGTCATTTTATGTGCATTCTACCAAAAATTCTCAAGTTTTTTTCTGTGCTAAATTTGAAGATCTTTCATTATTAATTAGTATGAAGATAAGAATTTAAGTATTATGAACTATAAACCTAGCAGTAAAAAAATATGGTGCCAAATAACAGGGATGCCTATTTAACATCTGATAGTACAGTATTATCAAGAAGAAGGAAAACCACTTTTTGTGGTTTAAGGTAATGTATTTTTTAGGTTCATCATTATTTGAATTAACAAACTTACGAATGTTTAAAAAAAAGAATTAAATAAAGTAAAGCTTTAGGAAATATGTACCCAAGAGACTAGCAAAGAAAAATATAAAAGCTTTGCCTATTTTTTAACTTATTTTTTATGAAAGACTTTCTAAACCTGAATAATTTTTTTCTAAACCTAAATAATTTTCAGGTACTTTAGCTGCTCAAAATCTCCTTGTTGTTTAATGTCAAACTGGATTGTCAAACCATGGTTTGCATTAACCCTAAATTTAGTGATGAATGAATTTTATATAAATTTATATTGTGGTAAACTCAGAATCTTATGATCCATTTAAAGTATTCACAAAGTTTATAAAGCCAGCCCCAATTCCACAAGATCAAGAGACATCCAAAATATTATTCATGATTATAGATTTTATTCCAACCATGAAATTGGAACTGTGAAAAGTGCTTTTCCTTCTTCTTGATTCAATCTTACAGTTACTCTTTCAGGTGGTAATTCAACAAATTCTGTCTAACTGTTTATTTAGGTCAACTATGATGAAGATCTCCATCAATTATGGAAAAGCATATTGAACATTGTTTCATAATAGCTGATTGTTCTTTAGAATGAAACATTTTATTGATTTCTAGGGTGAACCATTTGATTGTTCTTTAGGGTGAACCATTTGATTGTTTTTTAGGGTAAACCATTTGATTTTTCTTTAGAGTGAACCATTGTTCTTCAGAGTGAACCATTTGGGAAGTACTAATACAAAGAGGGAATTGTTTTTCCAATGCAACAAGACAAGCATACACATGTTAAGAACATCTTCACCTAAATCTCTTCTTCTATGAGTTATACGGTACTTTTCACAGATTAGAATTGGCGCTTGAGGATCACTGAATTCAATTTCACAAGCAAAATCTTTTTGTGAACATTTAAACAAAAAATCAGTCATCTATTTGTTGACTTTTTATTAGCAAAGATAACATACAGTTTTTCGAAATTCATTATGATTTTTTGCTTTATTTGGCATTTTGATAGAATAAAGTAAGCTGGATTAACATTTAAAGGTTAAAACTGTACAGAACTATTTTCCAGCAAACTTTGTGTGTTTAATTTTAACTGAAATCAAATCAAAATAAAGCAACACTTTATGTTTCAATAAAAATACAATGCAGTTTTCAAAAACAAGTTTTGAACTCCAAGTTAGAAAAAAATTAATTTGAAAACATTGATTTTCATTATAAAGTAAAAATCAATTTTGTTCCCACGAATGTAATAATTTGATTTTGGTATCTGCGAAGTTGTCTTCTATACTTTCAAAACTATTTAACAAGTGCTTATCAGAGTGTTGTTTTCCAGCATGCTGGAAAGCGGGGTGTGTTATCCCTATTTTCAAAAATTCTGGAGAGCAATCTGACTCATCTAACTACCAATAGTGTTCTTCCTATGATAAGCAAGATTTTTGAATCTTTAATTAAGAAACACTTAATCTCTCATTTTGAATCTAATAACTCACATTCTGATCACCAATATGGATTTCGATCTTCTCATTCTACTGCTGATTTGCTAACAGTAATAACTGATAGGTTTTATTGTGATAGAGGTGGAGAGGTTAAGGCTATAGCTTTTGACATTTCTAAAGCATTTGATAAAGTTTGGCATGTTGGTCTTCTCCATAAGCTTTCTTCTTACAATGTATCAGGTAACACCTTTAAGATTATTGATTTCTTCCAATCGTAGTATAAGTTGTTCTTGATGAACAGCATTCTTCCTCATATCCTGTAACTTCAGGGGTTCCTCAGGGTTCTATCCTTATACTCTTTTTAATTTACATTAACGACCCTCCAGATATTCTCACATCTAAGGTGGGATTGTTCGCTGATGATACTACTATTTGTTCTTGTTTTGATAAGAAGCCAACACTCTCGGATTGCTTAGAGGGGGCATTTGAGCTTGAAAAGGATTTCACTTCTGCTACAGCATGAGGCTCTCAGTGGCTGGTGAACTTTAATTCAGATAAAACCCGATTTTTTCAGCCAATTATTATTGCAATAATTTAGATTTTCCTTCAGGGCGCGACAAATCGTTTTTGTTTAAATAAATGTCGACGTTCGTTTCTTTATTTATTGACGAACGTCTAATTTAAGAGGTATATCAAAGATGCACCCACCTCCCTGTGTGTATCCCCTCTCCCTTTCCCCACACACTTTTTTTAAAGGTTGTTTTTTTTTGTTCATTTTAATTTAAGAGAAATTCTAGACATAGAGGACTTTTTCATTAATAGTTGGCACCTCCACTTCGAACCCGCGTCGTCGGCCAAAATGAGCCAGTTTCATTTTCAATTCTTTCAATTTTTTTTTTTTAAATTTAAATAATTTTTTATTAAATCATAAGGAAGTTTTATTTTCAAATAACTTTTATTCTAGTTAATAAGATATATAATAATTAGATATATCAAAGATACTTATTGAATTTTATCAATTTTTTATTAATTTAAAACAATTTTTCATGAATTTGCAAAGTGTGTGCAAATTAATGATGCAATAACCTTTTGACCTTAAACTGCTATCTATTAATACAAAATAGTGAGTTTTTCTCAATTTAGTTTGTTAAATTATAAAAAAAAGATATAAACTTGATGAAATTTAAATAAAAGGGAACTAAAAATAAAATAAAATTTGTTTTCACATTTCTTTTTAAAATATTTAAAAATAATATAATATTAAGCATTTAATAAGTTATTAAATTTTTTATTTAACAAGTTATTATTCAATACATGATATAATATTATTATATTTATAATATTATTTAATAAAAAAAATATCATATTATTGGTGTTGTTAAACGCACAGTAAAAAATGAAAACTATAATCAACATAATAGTTCTATAAATTCTATTAAATTATATATATATTTCTGCAAATTTTTTTCAAAACTTTAAAAACAGCAAGTAAACATTACTTTAATTTAATGATAAGAAAATTTAAAAAAAGCACATTTTTGAAAAAAGAATGTTTTAACATGGTTCCGTTTAAAGTAATTACAAATGCATTCATTTTAACTTAAATTTGCCATTCTTTTGTAAACGCATGTAAAAACCATACTAAAACATCATTTTTTCTACAGTAGCATATTTAAAAGAAACGCTATTGAAGAAAGTATTAGTGTGGTTTCTTTTAATGTCATTGAGACTGCATTTTATATTTTAGCAACTTATTTTTTTTATATTAATTATATTTTTTTATAATAAATAAAAAACTATCAATTGTATTATAATTTGGAAAAAAAAAATTGCTGAAGATATGCGTTCGTTTTTAAAAAATTTAAGCAAACGCCAACATTTGCTTAAGTAAAAGTAAGGAAATGTGACCTTCATTTTTCTGTCTTTTTTTTAACAAACATTCGCACGATCGTCGATTTGTAGCGCCCTATCCTTTATTTATGAATGGTAATGTACTCAATGAGTCATCTACCCTTCATCTTCTAGGATTAACTCTTACTTATAATTTTTATGGAAACCATATATTAAATTGATTGCAAAACCATATATTAAACTGTAAAATTAGCATCCCTAAGATTGCTTCTCTTTATCTCTCCACTTTCTTACTCCAGATTCTTTATCTTTATAAATCTCAAATCTGTTCTTGTATGGAATACTGTTGCCATATCTGGGGTGGATCTTCCAATGATGCCCTTTCACTTTTATCAAAGTCTCATCCTTTTACTGTGAGTGTTCCTAGGCGCTCTAAAAACTCTTATTCATCTAGTTTTTTTCCTTGAACATCAATTCTTTGGAATTCGCTTCCTTCATCTTGCTTTCCTAATTCATATAATTTGCTATCTTTCAAGTCGTCAGTCAATCATTATCTTGCTCTATAAACTTCATCTTTTCTCTTTCAGTAACTTCCAACTCTAATAGTGGTTGCTTGCAGCCTTGTTGGAAGCAAAAATGTTAAAAAAAAATTAAAAAATCTACCAATATGACCGTCTATTTGTGTACTACCATACCCCAAAATGTTTTTCTCAGGACAGAAAGTTCAAATTGGTTTGCATCTTATGGCACTGTGTTATAACAATATTTCAAAACATATTAAATATTAAAAGATTTTCTTCGTTGTGGTATGTTGAGCCGCCTAACATTTGAAAGTTTGTTTAAAAAAAAGGTTTAGAATTAGCAGAAATAAATAAACAGACCAGTTAATCAAATATTATAAGTTTTAAAAAAGAACACAATTATTAGAGCTTTCTCTACATTGATTATTGAAACATTTAATTGCTATTAAATACGGAAATTCTATACTGATATAATTGCAACCCTTCCCAGGAAAGATGTGCAGTTTTTCATCTCGTACGACCACGAAAACGTTTTTTTTGAAGTTAGAGAATGTGATCACTGCCGTTTTCGCAAGTTTTATTATATGTGTTGCTGTAAAATTAACCAATAAAAATTTTATATTGGTTGATTTTAAAATTAACGCACATTTTTATGTAACATTTTTCATAATGCTATACTTTTTATAAAGTACTTTTTTATAATGTTGTTTAAGTGATATGTGAAAGTTCCTGAAATTTTTAATAATATTTGAATATCCGCTTTATTTTTTCTAGATGCTTTTCTACTTTAATAAATGTTTGGAACTAATAATGTTGTTTGAACAAAGAATGAACTTTAAAAGTAATAAGTGCTTTATAAATGTAATAATACTATTATAGTTTTATTACATTTATAATGCAGTTAGTGACTAAAGTGTTATTACTTTTGGAGTCGAAAGTTTGTTGTTTTTGTTTTGTTTTTTGTAACCTTCTCGCTAGCAAACTTTTAATAATTTGCTCCTTAATAATAACCACTAAGAAAAAACAAAAATAAAAACAACACACAAATTATTTAAACTTATATTATTGTTCTCTATTTAAGTTTACTTTAATTTCTTATGTAGTGATTAAATTTAAAACAATTTTTCAACAACGCATATAATAAAACTTGCGCAAACGGCCGTGATCACATTCTCTAACTTGAAAAACATTTTTGTGGTCGTTATAGACGAAAAACCGCACCCCTTTCCTGGGAAGGCTTGTAATTGGTATTTTCTTATTAATACATATTGGCAACATAAAAAAAACAGAGGGTATCTGAAAATTCTTGTGATTTGAAAATTTAAACTCACAAATAAATAAAAATATTACCATAGCTTTGCAATCAGCTATTTTAACTCATGAATTAAGTTTGAGCTCGGGGTTGATTAAGTTTAAGCTCGGGTTGATTAAGTTTAAGCTCGGGTTGATTAAGTTTAAGCTAGGGGTTGATTAAGTTTAAGCTAGGGGTTGATTAAGTATTTAGTTAAAAT